GAAAGTCACTTTTTAATATCTTATTGTTATTTGAAACACCCAAGTTCTCTAAAATTACTTGCATTTAATAGACTTTAATCAAACTAAAATACAACTTTACTGAAATACAATCTTTCCTATTGCCTTTAGTTCATTTTAGCTTATCTAATTCCACTATAGGGCATTCTTTGGGCTTTTAACAATCACAATGCTTAGATAAATCAACATTGCAAAAATGTCACCATAATATCAGCACCTGCTAAGTGAAATCATCGGACTCTTCACACTCATGCTTTTAGTTGTTAGATAAAAGAGAGGAAAAAAGATCTTAAAATTTAAGATCATTTCTTATGAATGAAGGAAGCAGGGAAACAAATGGGTCAGACATAATATAGGCAATTTATATGTTGGTTCATTTAATTCTCAAAGCAAATATACATGGTTAGTATTATTCACATTTTACAGATGAGAAAACTGGGGCTCAGAAAGATTAATTAATGTCATTCATCTGTCTGTTCATTGATTTCCTGCTTTTTCATTGATTACCTTTAATGAACTAGGCACTCTTCTTAGATGCAAATGAAAGTAAGCTAAAAGTGTTTTTTTCCTCATATTCTCATAGGGAAGATAAATAGGAGAAAATAATAGCAATACAGTAGGATAGTAGAATAATAGAGCCATGGGTTGGGTGGTATGGTGGTAGCTTGAATAAAGATGGAAGTAACATATTTAAAGAGTTCAGGAGAAGACAATGAAGATGGGTATTTAAGATTGTAGTAGTCCATTTTCACACTGCTATAAACTGCATGAGACTGCGTAATTTATAAAGGAAAGAGGTTTCATTGACTTACAGTTCGGCATGGCTGGGGAGGTCTCAGGAAACTTACAATCATGGCAGAAGGTGAAGAGGAAGAAAAGCACCTTCTTCATAAGGCAACAGGAAAGTGGAGTGCCCAGTGAAGGGGAGGAGCCTCTTCTATCCTTATATATTTATATTTTGATGTCTATGCTTTGCCAGACAAGACCAGCCTCCTGCCTATTTCCACACCTCTAAATAAACCTTCTTAAACCACCCTATTCTACATTCAATGACTAGGGCTCCAATTTAACTGGAAAAAGCACTGGTTTAACTCTCTTCTTTATCTATATGTTTTCTAAACTTTTGTAATACTTTAGCTTGTGAAACTTCTAGAATCCTTCCATATATTTTAGAAAAATAAGCAAAAGACTTTACATTATGATATAATAACAATGGTGACTGATTTGTCTTTATACAATTATTTCATTGAAATAATCATGAAAATTATCTAAGACATGCTAAGAGGGATTTGGAAGAAATGGGTGAATGACAAAGAATGCAGTACCAAATGTTAAAATACCAGTTAGCAATTTTCTATACTTCACACAATTTCCACTACATACAAAATACAAAAACTCAGTAGTCAAACCATTCTTTGACCTTGGAAACAGTAGAACTGAGCAAAGCAGAGAAAATTAAGAATTTACCTCCTCCCTTCCCACTCCACTACAAAAAAAATCACTCATGTGCACACATATGTATTATGAGACTCAGGCTGACTCACACAAAATCCAGACCACCATACATCAATTACCACAATGGAAATGAACAGGGCCTACTTTCTGCGGTGTTTAGGGTCATTCCAAAACTCCACTTCAGAATTCGAACTTCTGTGTTATTAGTATCTCATTTTCTATGTCTATTCCAAAACCACGGTCCCTAGTAATTCAGTGAATTAGTGCAAAAATTACCCATAGCAAACTGTAAACTCAAAAATTGAAAGGGAAGAAGACTGGAAAGTAAATATTGGAGGTTCTGCCTACAAGCTGGGAGAAAAAAGCTGAAATGAAAGTGAGAAAAATTTCTGAGATTAATAGAGAAACTAAACTTACAGATAAAACTGAGTCATCAAGTATCTGAAAAATGTGAATACCCATTTTTTTAAGGTTACATCTTAATTTAACATTTTTAGGACATTATAGATACAATTTTATATCCTGATTTTTTCATTTGGCATTTAGTTAGGAGCATTTCTCATATTATTTTTAAATCTTCAAAATTGTAATTTTTCAGGGATATACTATTCTAGAGTATAAAAGCAATATCATTATATATCTTTAATTTTTGTTAAAATGGTAAATGCTTTATGATGTAGAATTTTTTAAATTCTGAAAATATTCAGGAAGAAAACCAAGCAAATCACCAACAAAGACATAGAACTCAGAAAATAATGGAAAATGTGGCAAAGCTTTAGGGAAAAATAACTCCACGCTCAGTTAAATATTTGCATGAGAGCAACATAAAAATTTTCTAATGTATTTAAAGTTTGAGAAAAGATACCATTCAAAAATGTTACTTTCCACTAAAAAGAAAACATAGTCAAATATATTATTGACTTAGTAATTAATCAAAATTAAGAAATTGGAGTTGCAGCCACCTAGTTGTGAATCCTATTTATAGAATCTTTGATGATTAAAATAGGGTTTACATTTTGAAAATAATTAGGAGGTAGCACGTAATGTAAATAATATTGATAAATCAATAATGAACTGATTCTAAAAAATTACAATTCCATTATCCAAAACTGAGAAGTAGAGAAGTGGTGCAGGGAGAAATAAAACTACCTCTCACATGGCGAGCATCCGTATACTGTCGATTAGAATGTACCCTGGTAAAATTACCTCTCACATGGCGAGCATCCGTATACTGTCGATTAGAATGTACCCTGGTAAAATTACCTCTCACATGGCGAGCATCCGTATACTGTCGATTAGAATGTACCCTGGTAAAATTACCTCTCACATGGCGAGCATCCGTATACTGTCGATTAGAATGTACCCTGGTAAAATTACCTCTCACATGGCGAGCATCCGTATACTGTCGATTAGAATGTACCCTGGTAAAATTACCTCTCACATGGCGAGCATCCGTATACTGTCGATTAGAATGTACCCTGGTAAAATTACCTCTCACATGGCGAGCATCCGTATACTGTCGATTAGAATGTACCCTGGTAAAATCCTTTTGGAAAGTCATTTAAAAATTATTATTTTAGGAATGATTGTATAGCTTGAGCTAGGACTTTAACTTCAATGAATATATTTTTAAAAATCATAAATGCAGCCAAAAAAGGAAAGAAAACAATATATGTTGAAAACTTGTTTAATTGTGATGAATTTATACATTAGAATATTTTATATTCTTAATAATTATTTTTGAAGATTTTAAAATAATATAAAACATGCCCTTATTTGAATATTAAATGAAAATATCAGGATGTAAAGCTGTTGATACGCTATGCTCCATGCGATTTCAAAGATATCCATTACATTGTCACAGTTGTTATAGCTGCCTTGATATGAAAGTATAGGAAATTTATGTCATCTTCATTCTGCTTTTTTAAACTCCCTACTTTTTAATGATGAGTATATCTATTACTTTTATATTCTAAAAAAGGACTTATAAAATTGCCAATTGAAAGGAAAAAATGTCAGGCACATTTTAAAATCTTTTGTAAGCCACCACCTTGTATCATTCAGGATCATCAGTTCTGGAGAAAGAACATGAAGCAGACAAAACAAGCAATTCATAGTACTATGCTCACAAATAGATGTTTGAGCCATGGAAATCTGTCTGCTGTATATGGCTTTATTATCTGTCTTCAGGCAGGGATGAAAGAATACCATGGTCAGCGTCAGTTTTGCAAGAATGTATTGGCCAACATGCTCATAAGATGTCTCCTAAGCCATTCCGATGATTCTCTTTCAAGATTTGGTGTAACATGTGCCCTTGCTTAACTTTGTGACGGAATCTAGTCATACTCAGTTTCTCCCAATAAGATCTGGTTGGTTGTTTTCTTTGCCCACATTTTCCTCTTCCCAATTAGAAATGCAGTTTGGTTTCCTTTGTCAACCGCCAACAGCAGCAGTTGTGGTTTATGCCTTGATTAGGTCCTAAAACACAGCTAAGCTGCTGTGACTGTCCCTGCTGCACATTTGGCAGGAGCAGAGTCACCATGCACTGTGCCAAGTGACACATGCCGCCATCTATATTTTGTTCCTGGTTTCCTGGCTGGTCCCTTGGCTTCTTCTCAGGCAAGCTGTTGGACAAGTTGTCATTTCATGCTCCAGCCTGTCACTGGGTCAGTCTATCACTCATCTGTCCCTTTGGTTTAGATACTTGCTTATGTTTAATTTCTCGATAGGAAAAGTATATTTCTCATAAATTTTTTTGTTAAATATTTTATAATTTGTGAAATAAATATGTTCTATCCTATACAAAGGATTGATCTTTCTCTTGAAACCCTTGGCTTTTTGCATTTTCCTGATGTTCTCCTGGGATTCTTCTAATTGTCTCAGTCACATATAAAACTTAAAAACTATGAAGAGCATGTTCACTTTTGCCATTAGATGGAAATGAGCCATGTCAGTAAGTTTGTTTCTTACAAATGTTTACAAAGAATGTGGTTCTTTAAACCTTTGGTTTTCTTTTAAAGTTTATATGATACTTTTTTTAAAAAAATACTTTAAATTATTTTAATTCTTGCAAAATCCAAAGTAAAGTTTGATGGAATCTAAGTAAAAGTAATTAACTAATCTTGATCAAAAGATAGTTAACTTCAAACTCTTGGCATTCTGGACAGAAAAATAGTCACAATCTAATCAGGGATAGAGCAGCTGAAGCATGCTACATGTGTATTAGTTCAAATCTATAATTTTAAAATATGTATTAACAAAGAAATTTTAAATTTGTAAACCAAATTATATCTACGCCCATAGAGACAAGTTAAAAGACACTCTCTTTTAATATCTATATATTTCTTTTGATATCTGTAGTTTTCATTTCTTTATCTCCATCCTATGCCTGTATAGCCCAGGACTAAACTACAATGTCCTTTAAAGGAAATCTTGGGCATCTTTTAAAATATAGAGAAGAGCCTCATGGTAATCAGTAGACCATAGTATAATAACTTTGAGTTATGTAATGAAGATCTTATTTCATTATACTTACCTGGCAGTGGAGATACCGATGATCACGAAGGTGGTTTTCCCAGTGTGAGACCAGTCCATTGCACTCCAGATGTGCTGACCCCTGCCATTTCGCCAAACGTGGGAAATTCGACTACGTAATTTGTGGTAGTGGGAAACTGTATTTCCGCTTTCCTCTGAAAATTAAAAATAAATAAATAAATGAAGTTCTTATTTCATTATTTAAAAATATATTTGCCTCTTTAAAATGGGTAAAATAATCTTTTGGTTTTATAAGATATAATATGCATACCATAATGTTCATCTACTTAAAATGCCCAAGTCAGTGGTTTTTATGTTTACAAAATTCTGCAACCATCTTCATAATGTAATTTTTAGAATGTTTTCTTCACTCCACGTATAATCACAGAAATAGAAACTTTAATTAAAAAATAAAACTCAGCCGGGCGCGGTGGCTCAAGCCTGTAATCCCAGCACTTTGGGAGGCCGAGGTGGGTGGATCACTAGGTCAAGAGATTGAGACCATCCTGGTCAACATGGTGAAACCCCGGATCTACTAAAAAAATACAAAAATTAGCTGGGCGTGGTGGGGCGTGCCTGTAGTCCCAGCTACTCGGGTGGCTGAGGTAGGAGAATTGCTTGAACTCAGGAGGCGGAGGTTGCCCTAAGCCGAGATTGCGCCATTGCACTCCAGCCTGGGTAACAAGAGCGAAACTCCGTCTCAAAAATAAATAAATAAATAAAACTCAGAGAGCTGGAGATTGCTGAAAATATATTTTTGGACTCCAATTTAAGAAGCAATGTTCCAGGTTCTTACAGGGGTATAGGACAGACCTGCATTGATTCTAAAGAGCTCAACGCACTACAGTAACCCTCTCACATTCCCAAATATTTGCTTTTTCGCAAATATACTTTTCTATCTCTGGGCCTTTTATGGAATCCCACTTTCTAAAACATTTCCCATCAAAATCCTCTGCATTCCAAGGCCAGGTTGGCTATCAGCTCCACTGTAACTGGAGTCTGCCTGATGAATGACAGAAACCAACCTCTTCATCTCGCTGTATCCAGAGCAATTAAGAACTTGTATTGACCATATTCTGATTGATTTTATATTTTTTGGACTGGATGTCATTTCTTTCCTTCCTCATTGGAAGCTCTTTAATTTTCTTGTTTCTCCTGTTTATTCAGGATATGTGATTGATTCCCTCCCAGTGCTAGACTATGAGCTCTCCTACATCAAACATTCAAGTAATGTTGACTTTAACTGAATACACCTGGGTAGAGGTCTTCCTCCTGAGGAAGTCATTTCTGGTTCTGCTCTTGATTGACTGGGGGCCCAAGGCTTAATCAGCAGAATGGAATCACCTGGAATTTCCCATGATTACTCAGGTATATCCCACAAAGACAAAAATACTGTTGCTCTTTCACATCTTTGAAGAAATCAGGTTACTTCATAGGATATTTGGTTTACTTGGAATTTATGAAGAACTCTCTATGTATACATGATCTATATTCTTTCATTAAGCCTGAAGAATTCAGTCTTCTTCCTCTGTCACTGCCCCCCTCCACCACCTAGAATAAACTCTAAGGGACTTTAGGGTAAGAGATCCTAGAGGGCTTTAATCCTAAAGTTCAGTAACAAATGCCAAGGAAAGAAACAAAAAGTGACTGATAGTGTGAGATTGTTTTCCTCCTGAACTTGATGATGAGTTCTTCTGCTGTTCTGCTGTACATACCACATAGTCACATAAAATAAAATGGCGCTGAAGATTATTGGGATGGAGAGGGAATTGATTCTTTATGATAATTATACTTTTCCAAGCTCTTATTTTATTTTTTATACCTTCATGTTAATAGGAAACATCTACATTTTTACTTAAAATATCACATTTTATGGTAGTGCTTATACCCTTCTGTTGATGAAGAAAACATGTAGCATAAAAAACTGGTGTGTTGGCTGCAAGGCCCGAGAATGAAAATATCACTAAAATGCATGAGGTCACTCAGTACATCTGTTTTCGGCCCATTTGCCTTCAGAAGAAGATTCTTTAATGAACTGGTAGTGTCAAAAGATGCTGAAGAAATTTTGCTCTTTCCACTAATCCTCCTTAGCCTCTCTCCTCCAGATATTCCGAATAAATGTGTAACCTAAACTAAAACTGTTTGCAGATTTTAAAGAGGTGCCTTAGCCCACTTCCAAGCAGGAAAACACCCACAGTTCCCTCCTATGTACGTAAAAAATGTGGAATTGCCACTCCCTAAATAGCACCCTGACTTGGTGTCACTATAGGGGTTTCAGCATATTTGTAAATACCACAGGGTTGTTTTGCTGTAGATAAGAGGTTTTCTGGCCAAAGTTCTTTGAGATTCTTTTTTCTGAATCTTCTTATTTCCCCCAGTATTTTCTTATAACTAATATATACTTAGACACACACATACACATATAGACACACAGAGATATAAAGTTAGAGATTGATCCCTCCTTTTCTTGTCCTCTTTTTCTTCCATTTTTTAAATTCCTCTAGATAGAAATCATTGCTTAAGCTACAGGTTTGAAGAGCTGGGAGCTTAAAACCCCTGCCAGTAAGCACAGCTTTATGGACTTGTTATTTTCATTATTGCTTTATAAACAACAGCGTTTGAAGCAGGGTGTAGGTTAAGTAAAAGTATGCTAAGGATTTCAGCTGTTTGTATGTTTGGAAGTGATCGTCTTGAAAAGCACAGTAGGTTTTGTGGGGTGAAGCAGCCAGATTTGAGACATATTAGCACTGCTCTCCAGATTCAGTTTTAGTTTAAGAAAGGAAGCTTTGTAGGAAGCATAGATGATGCTTTTTAGGGATTGCACATTACTGGCTTTTGAACAGCAGGTTGAAAACCTGATACTCTCTGTTGAATAGAATTGCTCCATTGGAGAAGCTATATGACATAAGCAATCTTAGTGTTTCTTTAAAAAAATTATTATTGGCTTTTTCACTTATTTATCATCAAATACATAAATGATATATTTCTTTTACAAGAGTATTGAATGGCAATGTTCTCTTAAAGGAAGAAGGAAAATTACTTGATTTCAAATTGCCATGATCAACCATTCCATTTTCCCTGTCACTATTTTGTCTCTTCTATTTGAAATACTAGGGACCCTCTTTAGGATAAACTTCTATAAGGAATTTAATATCAGTGAATGTAACCAGGGATACTGCAGTTAACATTATTATAAGATACAGCTAACACATGCTATATTACTTCCTTTTATGAAGTTTAGTTTTTAACATGGAATGCATTTAATGCTCCCATTAAAGAACTTCTCCAGCTAAATGTATGAAAGCACTTTTCTAGTTGCTAATAGATGTAGCTGCTACTACTTCTGCTACTGTAAATAACTTAATAAAGCACCTTTACATATGTGGTTTCAATGAATTGCCACAACTCTAAAAGGAATATTTTATTTTGCTATTTAGTACTTAAATGAAGGCTTACAGGAGGCTCCAGGACTTGGCTTATGTTACTTGTAAGAGGCCAAGCCTAGACTGAAACTGGTCTTTTGACTTAAGTTTCCTTGTTCTATATCTTTCCATTACAGCTATTTGAATCTGATAATAATGCACAATATGACATTTAGGTATATTTCATAAAAGAAATGAGGATAAGGATCAGTAATTGGTTGAATATGATAACTTAGTCAATTAAATTAAAAATTAATAATGGTTTTTAAAAATCTAGATTACAATCTATCTTTAAAAAACATTGACTAAGCTGGGCATGGTGTTGGATGCTTTTAATCCCAGCTACCTGGGAGACGGAGGCAGGGAAATCACTTTAATCGGGAAGTGAAGGTTGCAGTGAACTGAGATCAAGCCATTGCACTCCAGCCTGGACAACAGAGTGAGACTCAGTCTCAATAATAATAATAATAATAAAATAAATGTTGACTGTGGATATTATACAATATATGATAATCCTTGTGAGAAATAGCACATTTTAAGTCACATCCCCAATATCATATAACATACAGTCTTATTGGAATAGATAGAAATCAAAAACATTTTGAAAACAAGAAAAAAACAAGTTGGGATAATCATTAACATAATATTAATTCTGTTTTGTAAGGGTTGAAGCATCAGTGGCCACATTAGGGAAGGGTGGTATGAAAAATTGTTTCTTTCTTAGTCCATACAAAAAGCTCTAAGATTTTACCATTGAAAGGTGATCTCCAGATATGGTTCAATCATATGACATCAGAAGTGTCTTCTTCAAAGTCATTTTCCTTTTTGGAGCTCTCAACTGAGTTACTGCTGCTACTGCCGGCTAAAATGCAGGGCTGTCTTCTACTTTCAAACTCTAATAGAAGTGTGGAGAAATTCTGCTGTTGTTGAATAGTTCAATGTAGCTCAAGCAGGCCTGAACTTCCAAAAGAATTTATTAAGTACTGAGAACAACAGGGAAACTAGATGAAAATGTAAAAAATCCAAGCTTACAAACCACAGTTTATAATCCTCCCATAGCTCATTTACTCAGTGGCAAACCCCTGCCCTATTAAACATCACTTTGGAGACACAGCTACGACACCACCTTTATTTCTAAGACCTCATATAATTTTTAGGAACTTCCTACTTCCTTGCTTTTTAACTCCCAGTTTGCTTTTAAACAAAGGAAACTCTTTACAACCCATAAGATTGAAAATGATCTCCTATGGTCCTTGACGGCAAACTAGGGCCTTTAGGGAGTTCATTTTCTGGTCTGAGAGATGCATTTGATTTCTTGAGGTGATTCACAAAACTATGGTGACTGACAGGATCAATAATCTGAATTCAGGGGGAATCAAGTTTTATTCTTTCTGGGAACAAAATCATCCCATGATAAGCTTGAGATATACAAATACCATGTAAGCTATTATGACCTTCCTCCAATAGGAATTCTATATTTCATAAAATTAGGAAACAGAGGAAGGTGCAGTTATCATATTGTTCGGTCATAGTAAGGGAATAATTTGAAGAAATGTTAAGGGTTTAATATGCTACCTAAATGATGAAACATTAAAAAGGAAAGATGCTCTGATTTAACACGACATCTTGAGCCTGTTAGAGTTCTTAAAACATAACCTTATTTTTCTAAAACTAAGAACTGTGCCAGCTAATGAACTTTAATCAGCAGATCTCTTAATTAAAAGAATGTGACAA